GCGGGGGCGCCCGGGGCCACAGGAGCAGCTCGAGCCGGGGGTGGGCGGCGGGCGCGCTCGCAGCAGGCACTGCAATGCAGTGCTCGTAGGGCTTCTTTCTTCTCTCTTTTTTCTTTTTTTTTTTTTCTCCTCTCTCTTTTTTTTTTCCCCTTCAAAAGTTGCGGCAGGAGGTTTCAGAATGAGGGATGAGGTCCCTTGTCATGTGCCCACAGAACTGTCTGGCCGTCCCCACCGCCACTTAGCGCCCGGGCACCCTCCTGGCTCTGGCACCCGCCTGCCAGGACCCGGTACAATCGGCCACCTGGGTTAAGGCACCTTCTGCTCCCTCCAGCCCAGAGCTTTGCCCCTGCAGCTTGGTTTGCTGGTGGAGCCCCAGGAGAGCAGGAGCGTCAGTGTTGAGGACCCATGTCACCCTGTGGCCTCCTGCAGTCCCCAAAGCCCGGCAAAGACAACCCAAGGTCTTTTCTAAGCAGATGAGGTTGTCAACCACCTCCCTGAGCCTGCGGTCTCTCCAGAGGGACCAAGTCCCACCCAGGGGACCAAGACACCAAGGGGGTTTAACTACAGAGGAGCTTCCCGCAGGACTTGATTCAGGGTGCCCCAGGCCAAAGGAGGGGAGGCTGATGAAGGGGATTGCTGTCAGATCAGGGCAACACCACTCAGGTCCTACAGAAACCACCAGCAACATCAAGGCTGGAGCTACCAGGATGGCATCTCACTGCTGTGAGGGATTTGACATTGTCCCCAGGTTTGCACACATGGAGGTAGCGGGGCTCCAAAAGAGAGGGAAGCTCAATCCCTGCTTAGTCCTGTGGGTTGACACATGTCACCCCCCTCGCAAGGAACCCCCTGGGTAGGTGTTCTAGAAGTCCCACCATCCTCTGAGAATTTCATTGCTCAAGAGAAACTGCTGTTACTTCTCCAGATTCTTAAAGGCTTGTGTTTATTTGACAAAACCACATCTTTTGGAGCTAATCCCACACACACACTGTCCCCCTACCATCACTCTGTGCCAAGAAAGATGAACGTATATTAAAGAAATAAAGATGGTTATAAATGATTAACCATACCCAACCTTGGTCCAAGACCAAAGATGGGTTAAAGAAGCACCAACAAACCTGCACCCTACCAGGTCCACCCTGCACAGCCACCAGGTCTACCCGGCATCCCACATCACTGCATGGTTACCAGGTCCATCCTGTGCCACACATTGCAAGGCCACCAGGTCCACCCTGTGCCCCACACTGCATGACCACTAGGTCTACCCTGTACCCCCAGGTCCCCAGGCATGACCCTGCACCCCACGCTGCAGCACATCGTGCCAGATCCCCCAGAGTTTTACCCCAAATCCCTCCCGTGCTATTGCCATCCTCCCCACCACGATGCCCCCAGTCCTCCCCAGTGCCTTATCCTGCACCCAGCGACATGTCGTCCCCTCCCCTCCTGCCACCAAGAGCCCAGATCCTTTCCGCACTGGGCGGATGCTGGCTGAGATCCAACCTGGTTTCAACCCTCTGCCTCCCCTTGGAGCCTCGAGCACCCTGCGAGACCATCAAACAACAGAGCAAACAGCCAGCGAACGAGCCGTAGCGCCCGGAAAACCCGCTGCAGGAGGCCGAGCCCCCGCAAACCCGGCCCCGGCAGCACTCAGCAGCGTCCAACACCGCCCGCACGGGGAAGGGGGGAGATGTGTGTCTGCAAAGCAGCCTGCAGCGCTGCGAGATGAAGCGGTTGGTCTCCCCGTGACCTTGAGCGCCGCACAGCAGGGATGTGAGGAGGAGAAGGCATTAGCAAGGTTTCCCTGTTGGAGACGGGAACCAGCGGGAGCTGCTCCCCGCTTTCAGCTCCCGCTGGTTCTCGTCTCCAACAGGGAACAGCGTGCCGGAGGCACGGAGCAAACACAGCCGTGCCCAAAACCCTTGTCCCGGTCCTGTGTGCAGTGGTACCCACCAAAACCTTGTGACAGAGGTCTGGAATCAGACGCAGAGTGACTTAGAATTAGCCCTGAATGTACTTTGGTGCTTTCCCGGCTCCTGCATCCCGTCACTACTCTGCAGCGCCGGGGGAGCTGGCTGCGGCTCAGCTGTGGAGAGTCCCGGTCTCTCCATTTCCCCAGCCCTTGCAGCTGGTTTAATTAAAAACCCAGGGTAGCGGCTACAGGGTTGTGATGGATTTTGTTTACGGGTGCTGCTGGGCACCCGCTGCGGCGTCGGGCTGGAGATCCCGCTTTTGAAGGGGGCTCCTTCATGCTCTGCCACAAGCAGGCACCGTTCCTCAGCCCGAGGCACCGGACCAGGGTGTTTCCAGCATCCTGAGAGTGGTTTTGGCCAAGGGAAATCCCGCTGGCACCCCCAGCATCCCTCCCACTCCCATGGCAAAGGACCCCATCACAGGACACATCCAGCCACCCTTGCAAGCCAGAACAGGGCTCTGGGGGCATCACCAGCACCCCCATGCGATGGTGCTGAGCTCTGTTTTTAAATAAATGGTTATTTAACCCCCAGCAGGTTGACACGTGGGGTCCCAGGGCCCCTCTGAACACGCGCCGCTCGCTGCAGCGCAGCCGCAGAGCCCACGGCAGGTCCTGCAGGGCGCGGGAGGG